AAAAGTTGGACATAAATAAATTACTTATAAGTAAACTTTTGGAAATAAGAAACAAGTAAATTATCCAAACATGTTTCAAAAAGTTGAGCGAATTAAGAGTAACTTTTACAGTTCTTTAAACCTTAGCAAACATGATATTGTCTAAAAGCAAATTCCAGGACATATAAAAAGTCTTACTTGGTGGCCAAGCCTTCAAGATTCCCCCCATCTCCAATAGTTATGTAAACAGGGGCCGACTGGTCAGGTACCGGCGTGCACAATCCGTTCACAACATTGTATGCAATGTTTGATACACGTTCCTATGACAATAGATGATGATCGTCAAGTAATGCCAGAAGAAACTGAATTTTCGAAGAATGTATAGAATAATGCCATATGTCCCCGGTGGGCATCATCCACAGGTGATTTGGTAAGTGATGTGGAGTGGGATGATAATTCAATTAAATGACCCAGTTTATAAGTTTTATTATTTAATGTCACATCATGTGGGGATGATTTTCAGTGGCGACATATTACCCTTTATAAATTCAGTACAATAGACACCCACGGTCATTAAAAAAAAATAAAAATAATAAAATAATAATAAATAAATAAATTCAGTACTATAGAAACTCTAAAGTATTTTTGAGTATCAGGTCAATTTAAAATATTTATATTTCTATGTCAATCATTATGTGGTTTTTCTAGAAAATTCTCCCATATTGTGGTGCATAATATAAATCAATGACCCAATTTTATGTACGCCAAATTTGAAATAAAATATTCTTTCAATAAAAGAAAGATATGCCAATGACCCATATGACATGGTTTGAATTCGGTGACGAGGAATGGAAGTGCACATACCGATCGCTCGTATGCATGAACATGACCAGCAAACACAACATCAACTTTGTACTTGACGAACCATGGCTCGTACATGACTCTCATGGTTTCCCCTTCTAAAAAGTGATAGTTGTAGCTGTTGTACCATGGGGAATGCATCAGAACAATCAGCCACGGCGTCTCACTCCGGTTGACTTTTGTTAGCTCCTCTTCAAGCCATTTATACTGAGGAGTATATTTTCCTTACAAATATAAAACAAAGAAAAATGGATAATAAGCATCAAAAGTACAACCAATTCCCAAAATAATTATTTTACTCATAAGGAACTAGAAAAAAGAGACGTCTATGAATGTCATAGACATGGGATTTTTGACTAAGCTTAAACACAAGTAAAAGTCATTTTTTTACTCTGTCTCCAAACATATTTGGATATGTTGCTTATTCTTAATGTTATAAGCAACTCTTTTGTTAGTGTAAAAATAAGTAACTTACTTATTCTCAATTTCAGCTAATATAAAAATTATTTATCTTAAAACTTACTCATTTACTTGAAAGTAAGCTTTAACTCAACATGCTCTAGGCATCATGTGTAAGAATGAACAAGGTATTCCAATGTGCAAATATACGAAACACAAAAAATGAATAGATTCCTCAGTCACTGATTTTTAGTCTTTTCAAAAAGAAAGGAAATCTACTTATGAGAACGTTACATTTACCACCCTAACAAAATTAATGGATCAAGCCAGTATGAGTTTCATTTAATCAAATGTGCAATAGAGCAGTGAATACAAAGTACAATATTGTAAATGAGATGTTAATTTCCAAGGCAAATACGTGCTTACCATATGCTGAATACGATGATAAAACAATGATGTACGCTGAAGCTCTCTTGATTGAGTACCATAAAGGAGAGGTGCTATTTGATACTTTGTAAGGGGTGTGATAACGGTGACTATATGGCTTAAAGGGTTTTGTTTCACCCTGCAAGAAAATAATCAATACTTATTTACAAACTCATTTCCATGAAAATTGGGTTCATATTAAGACTGACAAAGAAATGAAATTAGCAACTGAGCTGCAAGGAACAAAAAGAAAAGGATATGTTGGGTGTTCAAAAGTAGTCCTAGTTACGCAAGAAAAATTTGTTCAAGTATTCATTTTTTCCCCGTCATATCGGCGATTCTTCTTTTTCTATTTACTCAATTTGGAGATGGTAAGAACCTTCATGCATTAGATTTTTGTTTTTGTGCATGTTTGGCAAAGCTTATAAGTGCTTATAAGCTGATCACACACCATTTGTATCCACACATTTCGTAGGATCCACGACTTTTACCTACTTTTGCCCACTTATCATCCACACATTTTGTGAGACCACAACTTAAGAGTACTACCAAACAATTTTTCCACTATCAACACTAACATTGAAAACCTACTTGTAGAGAGGTCTTTGGACGGGCTTTTCTTGAGTTGAAAAATGCTGACTTGTTCAAATAAAATGATTCCGTAAAGATCAAGATGTGTACACTAGAAAAGAAAGTCAAATCAATACAATTCAATATCCAGTTATATGCTTTGTTGTTTAAAAGAAGTAAAGAACTATAAATTCCCTCCATATATCAGGAATATCAAAAACATTTATCCACAATGGAAACTTGAGAAAATGGGGGAATTGTTGCATTGAACATTTAGGATTTCTGAGCGAACTGGTTTTGCCGTTATAAAATATTGAAGATAAATGAAAAAAAATAAAGTTATTTCCTCCCAAGCAGTTTAAGCTTTTAGATGACTTAGCTTAACATAGTATTACATATAGTAAGGGTCCTGAGTTCAAGTTTCATCATCAACCACTCATAAAACTACGCACATGACAGGCCTTTAATAAAAGGGAAACTCTGCTGCATGTGAGATAACAAGTTGAAGGCATTTAAAACTTAAGCTATTTAGCTTCCATTTGACAAATTTATTTTTGGTTTATACTTTATAAAGAGGGCTAGTAAGAGGGAAAGTAGAGGTCCAACGAAATATGTGGATAATAATGATTAGTAGTTATGATTGTGTAGTTGAAAATTTGAAATTAACCTTTGATTGTGGCTGAATTTATAAACCACTTATAAATGGGATTGTCAAACGGAGGCTTAGACAACCTCATGTGAAAGCTTAGATTTACCTCCCTCACAAAGCTCTAGGGCGGGGCGGTGGGGGCCTATCAAGGTTGGGGTTCAACCTTTTTTAGATTAGTTGAAATGGGACAATTAATGGTCAACATAAAATGTTGACAATTATCACTTAGTACTGAAATTTTCGTTTGAATCCCACACATGATATGATTGAGAGCACTGTGTTCAAGAAATACACAACGATTTTGCAGGACACTTACAATTTTTGGAGCAAAATCAATTTCGTGATTCCCTGCAGTCCAAATCCAAGGTTGGTAAGCAACACTTCTTTCGACGAACCTTCCCCATGTATCCCATCTCACATTGTCATTGTTAGGATACTGGTCAGCATAGGAAAGGTCTCCAACAAACAACACCGTTTGTCCCTTGGTGGGATTTTGTTCGTAATGTGTAAGCGTCCTGTTAGAGTCAAAACTCTGACCAAGATCCCCTGCAATAAAAATTGAAAAACACTCACATTGGTTGTATTAAGAGCATGTCTGGCAAATCTTAAAGTTTAATTTAAGTAGGTCAAACATACTTTTTATTCACACATTTCATAGGACCCACAACTTACTACTCACACGCTCATAAAACTCGCCTCTTATAAGCACTTAAAAGCTCTATCAAAACAAGTACTAAGATTTAAGACCTTGTTCATTCATAAGAGCATTCAACTTAAAGCCAAACAAATGCCACTTTACCTATCAGATCACCTAGCTTTTACTTTTTTAACCAACCACGAACCACAACAAATTAAGCTCTCTTGCCAATAAGGTTGAAACAGTTACATGAATCCGTTTATGTATTTAAGTCACTTAGTTTGTCTCACTGCCACAGGGTAAGATTATGCTGTACTCAGTACACATTCCACAACCACCATAACCACTTTCTTCCCAATCAGCTCATATAAATATTTTGAAGAACTTTTGAAAGCTCATTGTATAATAAAACTAAAGTACATGTTCGGTATGCAATACATAAGATGGTACAATAAACAAGATTTTAGCAATTTTTAATTTTTTAATATTATCACATGCTTTCCAATCCGCCTTAGCAAACATGACAAATTTATTTTAAAGGATCAATAAATTACAGTACCAATTATTGAAGTACGTTAATATAATATCAAGTCTTGAGCAAACTGCCGTGAAATAATTAGGTAAAGAATGGATACCTATAAGACCAAAAGTATAAGGAACATCACGGCCAACTTCAGGAGGCGTCATGAACCAGAATGTTCGTGTCGTGTGACCAATTCCAACCTCGTAATAGTATTTAGTGTTGTACTGCCACAAAGAAGTGAAAACTTCATCCCAAATTGTCCATAAAATAATCTCCCTTATCATATCTTGTTCAAAGCTAAATATACACATAACAGAGCATATAAAGGAAGAAACACCATTATAGAAATAAGAATGGAAAACAACAAGAAATGGAAATTCACCTCTAACTTTTTAATGGTGCAATGGTGAATGTAACCAGAGGTATAATTGTAAAATTTATACTTGGTAAGCTTTCCTCTTGCCTCTTTCTTGTCCTTGCTATTCTCGCTCCAATAAAGGACTGCATTTGAGCCCTGTTCATCCACGGTAACCCATGATACAATCACTGCCTTTCCCAAATGATCTCCTTGTGTTATATGTACCTTAAGAACAAACAATTATTCAACAAATTCAGTCAAAGAGAAGCATCTATATGTGAACTGTTTGGTTATCTAAAACAATTAAATTTTTAGCAACATCTGAGTTCCGAGGTATTAAAACAAAAAGATAATTATTACAAGGATACTTTTTAGGCAAAAAGGGAACATTGATCAAGTTAATTCATGATACTTATAAAGAGAAAAGGAAATATAATACATTAAATCATACTTTTGAAAAGTTTGTATTTGTTTATAAATTATGTTATGTCATTCAGGATATATTAGTAATGAAGAAAAAAAAAAGATATGAAGAGACCTGCTGAGGCGCATTATAGCCAGGCGGCACACGGAAGACATCACTTTCAAGAGGCATATCCTCAGTTTTCTCAACTTTTCTAACAAAACTACTTGTGATTCCACCATTGCATAGAATTGCTGCATTCAAAACAAAACCCACAATACCCAATACAGAAAAACCAGAAAATCTTCTTCCTGGCGCAGCCATTTCGTTATCCTACGCACCGAAAACCCAGAATAACCTACGCAGCCTCTCCTTCTACAATACTGTCCCTCACTCTGGCATTTGTGCGAACAAGTTAAATATAAGCAGGGGAAGAAAATCAATCTTGAAATGCGGGGAATATTCAAGAGTTTATCCGGCTATACAAAGTTAAGAGTCAACGAAATTTTCGCCATTGCGATTGGGTTTCGTTTGGACAAGGCCGTATTAATCTTCATAACACCTTAAATGATCAAAGATATGGCGAGTTGACTTTTGGTCGTGTGACTACGAAGGTTCGAAGTACCGACAATAAAAGAATCATTTGACAATGAGAATGTGAATTCGCGGAAAATTAAGTTTAAATATCAGCGTCGTTACTCGTTAGAGTTTAGCGGGAAGTCGGACAGCGTGGTTCGGGCAAGAAACAGAGATTACGATTTCAACGAATATTTGGCATAGCCTAAAAAATAAAATAAAATAAAAAATAAAAAAATGTAGATCAAAATTAATAATTAATTCTAACCAGATATTTAATGGATTTCACAATTTTTTCAAATCTTTTAACATTAGAATTCATCAATTTTTATAGAAGACCTGTAAATATCTAATTTTTAAATACACAAAAAGGGAACTCAGTATCTTAATCTATTATCTTCTTTTTAAATAAAATAATTTCATCTGACTTGACAAGTTCTTTTGAAAATAGACACTCAATCATTCACTATTTCAAAGTTACGATCCAATAACATAAAGTTACTTATATTTCCTACTATACTTATTAATCAAATCAAAATGCTCATCTAGCTTTCATAATGAATTCCTCCTTAGTAACGAAGTGAAGCAATGAATTCATGCTTATTTGGAATAACTTAAAAAGTTGAAGTCGAGTCAATAATTAATTTCAAAAAAGCCATGAGGCCAAGGCCAAAAACAAGCGTAAAAACAAGGGGTTTGATTTTGGCCCTTGCCAAAAAGTAGGGTTGAATTAATTTTAACTACACATTTTATATATCTATAATTTTTATTAGCTTTTCAATCTCACGTTTTGTCAACTTTTATTAAGTTCAACGTTAGTTAATATTGTATAGTTAAAATTTTTTAGCTTGATCCCAAGGAAATTTGATCATGATTCATGGGAGGACAAATTGATAGAACTTGGTATAAATTGTCGACCAAGATAAAAGTTTATAAGTTGCTAAAGATGACAAACATTTAATTATTATCTTTGACATGTTACTTTTATGCATGCAGTTCCTAGTTTGACATGTTACTATTTTATTTATTTATTTTAATATAATTTGATAATGACAAAACTTTAACTTAAATCGACTGAACTCTAATATTATATAAAGGTCATCTAAATATTTAACCTGCTAAAGACAAAACTCTTATATTCAATAAATCTTTACAGCGAGTATATCTCAATCAACAAGTGCACGAGTTAATTTAACAGTAAGAGGACTATTTGACAAGTTTTTTTTTTTTTTTAAAGTTTTAACAGATATTGATAAAATGTATTGTCAAAAATGAATTTAAAGTTGTAAGTCTTATGAAATGTATTGTTATACTTAATAAACTTTAACAAATTTTAAGTTATTCCACGCAATTACTGAATACCCTTTCACCACACAAATCTCAAGAAATGCACCCTCTTGCGATCTATCAATATATTAGTTGAAGTTGCCAATATTTTCCTTCACAGTTGCAAGGAAATTTTTTCATTAATAAAAAGTGTCCACTAACACACGAAAGTAAACGAGTGAAAAATTGTCCTAGCTAGAAACCCAACTTGCAGTCAAAGTTGGGTGTGTATGGACATGCATTATGGCCCCACAAAATAAAAGTTCTAATACCCATTGAGAAATATCTCAAAAGATTTCGACTTTTTTAAAAGTCGATTTGACACTTTATTCTCTTTCTGGACGTTCTTTATTTAATAATTAAAAAAAAAAAAAAGTTGAACCCCAACTTTAAGGGTCCCACATCGTCCTGTTCTTAGAGTATCGTGAGAGAGGTTAGTCGTGGAATGTGCCATAACAGGTCAGGGAACAAGATCTGTCTGTACACTGATACCCACAAAGAGTCTCAATTCATATTTCAGGAATCGAACTCTCACACTGCGACTGCCAGTAAAGCTGAGTATACCTCACACTTATCCTTTACACCATTGGAATGTGTCTCGAGGGGCTCATTTGAGCGCTCTTTGCTTCCACATCGAGTGTAAGTAGGTCAATATCATGCAATTCAAGAATAAATTATTAGGAAGCTCCTCCTTGGAGCCATTCCTTTATTTGTTGTTATTATTAGATATATATTCAACTTCAACCTTTGAAGGATGATTATTCGAATTTTTTTTATTTGACTTGCCCTTGTTTGATGCCTATTCTTTTAAAAATTCACTTTTTCAAAACTCATTTTCAATCACATTTTTCAATAAAATAATATTACATGCAAACTCAAAATTTCTCCTTAATTTTGGGTAATTGCACAAAACGTCCCCACCTTTCAATGTTATTGTACAAAACGTTCTTACCTTTTATTTTTTATTTTTGCATTTTCATCCCTATTTTCACCTTTCCTTCCAGAAAAGGTCATTTTCTCGATAAAAAAATGTAAAATGATAAATATACCCTATTATTTAAATAAAACAAAAAGAAAACATGAGAAATATGAATGCCAAAACAAAATTGTAAAATAAAAAATGTAAGTATATTTTTTAAAAAAAATTATTTAGAACAGTGAAATTCCTAATAAAATATGTCTGGAAATAAAAATAAAAATTTATATAAAAAATTAGTTTATACTACAAATATTAAAAACTAATCGAGTTGAAATGAACAGTGGACCGTGGAAGCGTAGGGATTGGACCAGAATGATACAGCCCGTGGTCCTTACGGGTCGGGTGACCAATGACAATATCATGTGCAAACCATAAATGGGGTTGAAAATGATGTGACAGTGATACCATGGTAGATGATAGTCCCATTCCATATTAAAAATAGCATCATGCTACACTTACAATTTTTTTTTTACAAAATTTTTTACTCACTACTCACAATAAAAGGTGACGACCACGAGCCGACATTTTTTAAATTTACGTGGAAGCCGCTTGTTTGTGAGAGTAAATAACCTATTTTGTACACATTTGTTTGTACATATATAACTATCCATAGAAGTATTATAAGTAATTTTTTGGTAACAAAAGTTCTTATTTTTCAACGATATTCTAGGACGCTGGTTGATTTTGTTTGTTTTAGTAACTGGTCTACATCGATTAGCAAGGTCCCGCACAAGAAAAATTTGGACTTCTCAACCAAGATCCTCCTCCAATGTGAGAATCAATGAGTCGTTCTTATGAAAGATAAAAGTACATGAAGGAGCTAAGTAAAACTGTTAGGTATTTTAGTGATGCCCAAACAACCTCCTAGACAATAATGAAAAATCGAGACCCGTTCGTTTCATAGGCTTTAAACCCGGGATTGAAATATGTATTAAAGATCCACACCACAATTGTAGTAACCCAATTAAGTTGGGTATTTAGAGGGAATCGGCCCATTAGAGCTAGATGCTCAATACCTAATTAAAAGATGGACTTGGTAGTTAGAAATATACACTATCCCTAACTTTAGATAACCTACCTTATTCAAATTGATACCCATCTTTGAAGATTTTATTGGAATATCTAGGAAATTCGTTTTTCTACTTGACCTATATATAATTGACCTCTAAACCTATGTAAACACCCCAACAACCCTAGAAAATAGTCCCTGTGCTTAGTGCCTTTGAATACCTTCTTGCTTTGTGCCTTGAAGCTATTTTTCTTTGCCTTTGTGTGCCCTAATACTTGGTGTATATCTTGGACTCCGAAAATCTATTATTGGTGTTACCTTTGTGGTGTTGGATTGAAGTTTCTGAGCCTAAGAAAAGGGAGAATTATTGCTTTTTTGTTCTTGCATCTATTTCTTCACTTTCTTAATTGTTTTGATTGATTCTTGTTTATTAATTGAGTTTCTCACTTACTTGTTGATTTGTTCACTTGTAGGAGACATTTAATACTCACAACCCTAGGCCCAATTAGAGTGACCTAAACTAATGGGCCAATATTCAACTCCATATTAATTACTAAATGATCCAACTAACTAAATAATCATCCAACCCAAACCCGAACCATCCAAAAGTGTAGTTCATCTCTGAGTCTAGCCAAGTCCATGGTGTCGATAAATAATCCGACAACTATTTTAAATCATCGCCCGAATTATTGGGTATCAAAAAACCCAACAAAAACCACCATAAAACCATAAAAAATTCACTTCTATACAGGCTTCAATACGTGCCAACATGTCTAGAGGCAGTTTTGACGGGGAAACGTCATAATGGGTGGCGAAATGACAGCAAATGTATTTATGGTGAACTTTTTTTTTTTTTTAAATAAGTTTCTTCCTTTCAAGCATAAATAGAGGTAGAGAATAAAGATTCTTCTATTTTATTTCGAGAGTGAGTTGTGACGACGATGAAAATTGTGAGTCTAGACTATAAATTTTCTTATCTATTCATTGAATTGATTTCAAGTAGATAATCGACATTGAACAATTGTGATAAATTATTCTTTATGTCCGATAAATATTGACTTGGTTTTCTTTTTCATATATTCCCAATTATAGATTGTTTTCTTTGTTGAAAATATGATTTATTTTTTAACTTTCTAATATATTCTTATTTGATGTGCATTGTTATCAACAAATATAAACTATTATCATTCAATGCATGAGTATATTAGGGAAAAAGTAAGCAAAATTTATAATTTCAACTATAGTAATTAAGTTTTCTTAATCTGTATAAAAATAAAAACAAATTTATTTTTGTTGGGAGGGGGGAATATAAATAAATGAGAGAAAAAAAATAACAATTATTTTCAGGGATAAATGTTTGCTATTTTCAATGTTTATAATTTTTTCATATTTAAAATTCGTCAAATTGTAATATAATTCTATATTCTAATGATATTTCTCATTTATGTATGGGATGGTACGAGTACATTGCATCCAACAACTTTATCGTTAGTCTCGTTCAGCAAGCTATAAAAAGTTGAAATTTTGTCATTAGAATTATATATATATAAAATACTTAATTAGGTATTCCTGATCAATAATATTAAATATTGAAACGAGCGAAAACGTTGAATTTTTTTATGGGAGGAAGAAAAACCCTTAGAATATAAATTTAGAGCACGTTTGATTCCCATTTTTTTGAGAATACATTTTTCTTTCTTTTTTTCAATCATACATTATTCAATAAAATAATATTACAAACAAGTGGTATTCAAACTCTTATTTTTGCGACTTTAGCCAAAGCTTATGCAGGTGAATGTATGGA